AATGTGGCCTCTTGGGTCTAACAGGTCCACTTCCATCCTGGGCTGTACCTGCACAGGGAGCCCCCATGGCCTGTTTTTAAATAAGCTATACTGCTTTGAAAAATGCATTTTTATAACCTTGCGATCAGCGTGGGCGTGGAAGAAGTGCGGTGCAAATTTTTAAAATGCCCATGGCATGCTCATTTCCAGCCACTTAATGTTTAATCTTGGGTACCTCTAAATTACCTTGGGATAGAGAATAGATGTTTGTGCTGCTGCACTGTGACCAGAGGATGTGGAGAAAAATACAGGGCCTGAGGTTACTGCAGGTCCGGGAATGTTCCTGTACAAAGACTCACTGTTTTACCTGACCGGGTCTAACCTACAAGCAGCCAGCCTGTGAAGCGCCCGTGGTGGTGAATGATCAACACTGGATTCCCCTGGAGCACAGTACCTGCTTGTTCTGACTGCTTGAGCCCAGTGTGTCTGCCTCATGTGATGCGTTGCTGGTTAACAAGTGGATTAACAACCCATGATATTATTGTCGGTGCTACATTACCTGTTGGAATTCATTTCACTGCTTTGGGACTGTATGTGGTCGTGTAAGACACAGCGCCCACCGGTTGGATTTACCGACCTTGGAGCTACTTGAAAGGGAGTGATGTTTCCACAACTTGGTGGGACTTAATGATAAGTTTAAAAAAATTAAAATAAATAAATAAATAAATAAAAAATGTTGCATGTCTGTTAATGCCTTGTTTCTGTAACGTTAGAGAGAATTGTTGTAAGGCTGGAGAAGTTACTATGTCTGCATTATGCCAGTTAAAATATGGGGTTTCTCAGTTACCCACTTTGTTTAGTGTGTTACATATCTCTTTTCATTGGTACGTATACCGTTGTTTAACCATCTATGGAGGAGAAATTCAAATTAATTAATGATGTCGTGGTTTGTTGTACTGTACACTTATGACAACATCGGAATCAGGAGTCACGCATGTTCACACACTATCCTCTCATTTTTAGGAAGACACTTTTTGGTTTCATTATTCTGAAAAAATTATAGACTATTTGGAGTTATGAGGGGTGCAAAGATAATCTATAGGTACCCAAGATTAAATGTCTGGAAACAAGCATGCCATGGGGACTTTAATGACAAGGCTCCATCGTATCTTAAAGACCTCGTAGAGCCTTATCATCCTAACACAGCACTTCGCTCTCAGAGTGCAGGTCTACTTGTGGTTCCTAGAGTCCACAGAAGTAGAATGGGAGGCAGAGCTTTTAGCTATGAAGCTCCTCTCCTGTGGAACCACATTCCAGTCTCAGTTCAGGAGGTCCCTCTCTACCTTTAAGATTAGACTTAAGACTTTCCTTTTTGATAAAGCTTATAGTTAGGGCTGGATCAGGTGACCCTGAGCGCACCATTATCCATCACTAACTGTGTGTTTCCTCTCTCCTGTAGTGTGGAAATTCGTATTAATTAACGTCATTGCAGTTCGTCGTTCTGTCCACTTTCGAAACAACACCGGCAGCAGGAAGTGTGCGGGTTCACAAACTATCCTCTCATTTTTAGGAAGAGGCTCTCTGGCTTTATCATCCTGAGATAATTACAGACTATTTGGAGATATGGTGGGTGCAAAGCTAATCTAGAGGTACCCAAGATTAAACATTAAATGGCTGGAAATGAGCAAAATGAGCAGCCATGGGCACTTTAACATCAGTGGCCACTGGGGGCAAGAAATAAACACAAGATAGAGTAGAGTGATGGTGGGGGTTAGTACAGCAGGGAGAAAACACCTGTAGACAATTGTTTTACTTGATTTACACACACTTGTGCTAAATCTTAGTTATGGCAGCGTTAAAGAAGGTTTACTGCATGTTTTATGAATGACTATGTGCCCATATACATATAACATGTCCATCTCTTGATCAGCTTTAGTGTCCAGTTAAGTGACCTCTGTGCCCTTTGAAAAAGTATGACATTGAAGGCCAAATGGCCTTGTCCTTTAAATTATGAAATGTATGGCCTAATTAACACATGGGTATCTGCAGCTTCTAAATAATGCACAACCAAAGGACATGATCGGGCCCATTTATATTGTATTGCTACAAATCCTTCCAGAACTTCACCATGAGTGAAGGCGTTCATGTCAGAATCAAAGGTCCACAGCTGCTGCTGACTTTATGTATTCATTACATCATTAGAGACCTCTGAGCAGTTTAAACACCAGACTGTAATAAACTTTATATAATGACAATTAAACATAACAAAACAGTTTGCTGCCATGCACTTGAGCTACCCACTATTCAACAGCAATTCTCAGTGGAGGAAATACCATATGTAACAGAACAGCAGAGCTACAAATACCACGTGTCCAAAGGTCTTTAGTTTCATACACTGGGGTGTAAGCAGCACTAAAACCACTTTGAGCAAATTTTCCCAGAAGTCATTCACACTTACTTTAAACAATCACAGAAGTAAATAAGCTACAGCTGCTAGCAATGGTTTATTTGTCCATCCTTTACTTTTCTGTCTTCTAACTGTGGATTCTCTTTAAAGTGTGACTGAGTCTATCTAGCATACCAGTGTTAAAGAATGTGAACTATGGTCCAACACAAACTCAACAAAGACTATGCAAATTCCTCGTGTGTCCAGCACACCTGGCCAATAAAGCCGATTCTGATTCTGAATATCTCACAGCAATCCAGACTATAGAACACAGGAATAGCAGCTAGACACATCAGGATTATATGCGGCTCGTGAGGAAACACCAAACACAAGTCCCTCTTTAAGTCTTATTTAAAAGCCTCAAACCAAAGTGAGATTCTTGCAAAGCAATGGGTCTCTACACTACTTCAAGTAGAGGCCTCAGTTAAACAGAGGAACCAAATATCACCTGGTTGTCTGGAATCTGGATTGGCCCGATTACTTCGTACTCCATCAGCTGAAAGCTGTGGTTAATCAAAAACCTGCATGCACCAACATAAAATATGGCAGACCAGGCCTAAAAATAGGGGTTAATGTAAGTCAGTCCCACACTGTGCCAAGAGGCTGCCTACAGTAAGCAACACATTGTGTGTTTCTAAGCCAGTGAATACAATAGAACAAAGCATTGTGACACATACATTTCTTACAATATCCAGTACAGGATCTTTGCTTATACATCATGCCACCATTCAAAGCAAACCAAGTGATGTGAGAAAACTTGAGTATAATTACAGTATCTCCGTAGAGGACAGACATGTGATTAAGTACCATATGACACCAAACAGTCTGTCTGGTGGCTTCTATTCAAATTAAACTGTGATGACCAATTTGCATACTAAGTGTATTGTTTGTTTGTTGTGTATGTTGTTTGTGGACCAAAGTGCTGCCAAGTTCTTGTGCCTAGTGTGCCAAGTTATTTTATTTGTGAGGCTGATAAAAGTAGGCCAACATCTAAGATAGTCTAGCCCTTAAGAAAAAAAGCTTAACAGAAAAGCAATATTTGTTGAAAAGTAAGTAATACACACAGTTAGCAGGGCTATGAATTGTTGCAAACTAATGAAATTGAGACCAAAAATTTCAGTATGTGAAAATATGATGAATGTGTGCTACCTTTACTGCATTTCACTATACTGATGGAAGCACCATATTAATTTGCTCATCTTTCAGAAAGTAATTATATTTACCAGAACAAAGGTAGGCTGTTACTGCACGCTAGCATAGCCACAACCAAGCTGACTGTGCATGCATTCCTACTGTTTAACTACCATATAGGACATAAAATGATATGTTGACACTCTTCCACTGCCATATATCATACTTCAGTGGCTAGCAATTATTTTGTTTCTGGTATATGCCTCTGCTGACTACTATATCAATGTTGGTCCATGTTCAGATATCAAACAGGGAAAAGTCTACATATGATCTGTTTGACTTGGAAGCCTCTGCCAGTACCATGCAGAACTAGGAAAAGAGAGACCCGGACATGACCCAAATGTCACAAAGTGCAGAGGCTACATCAGCTATCCTGAGTCAAACCTCTCAATATGAACAACTAACTGTCCAACCAGCTGGATACATCCCTTTATAAATAACAGTTCAACACTAAAATAACTGGATTCTGAAGGATGGTAACAATCCATCTGGTTGACAATAAAGAATTGTTTGCTTGTGTGCTCTTGATAAGGCTGTGTTAAAGTCCACATCCCCACAGCCACTTCCTGAAATAAGAACTGACTCAACAGGTACTAAATTGCTGGCCTACACAGAATAGTCTACTGAACTTTAACTGATATAATCATCAAAGAATTATAGAAATGCGTCCCCCAATAGGAAACATAGCCTCAGTATGTGGCTTCTAAAAAAAAAAAAAACACTTAATACTTCACTTCCAAAGCTCTTATAAAGTTAAGAGGTAACAGGGATCAATTACATTGAGCCAAAGTTACATTACGCATCAATCAGCTACTATTTCAAATTTGGTAGAACTCAAATCTCAGTATGATTCCTAACAGTGCAAGAAGAACTTAGCAATTCATAGGCTATACTAGTCTTTTTTTCCCTCTACCAACCTTAGCAAATTAACTCATAATTACTGTCTTTTCGTATTGACATTAGTCTCTCTATCCAAGCTTGCTAGCCAATATACTTTCCTAACAAATTAACTCAAACTATTTAGGTAACGGTAATGACCAAATAAATATGGTGGCTCACTAGAGAATGTGGTTTATCGTTTAAAAGGTGAGGCTTTCACACTTCCATTACAAAAAATGTGCATTAACTGAGATCCAAGGAACACGGAGCCATGTCATGGGCAAACTGTCAGTTATCAGCAAGCTTACTGTTCGGGGTCAAATGGACAACTTCTATATATTGAACGCCTGTGGAAACTCGGGTACCACAGCATGCCTAAATTAACGTAATATACATCCTAGGATATGTGCAGGCCTCATAGTCAGAGACATATTTCAAATTCGGATGTTAGATAACTAATCAGAGGAATTCAGCTATGCCAATAACCAATCAACAGGATACTTACAATCCAAATGTTTCTTTTTGGGCCCCATTATTTCATGCGTGGTCGCCTTGCACACAATTTTGGAAATCGCCGAACCGGTGACACTGTGCTGTGCGGCGGTTATCCTGTCCGTAATGCTCTGTCCAGACATCCTGTAGCGGCTCAAATTAAGGGATCAGCACTTTACAGAAACGTATCCAAATCCAAGGGAATTGCCTGGGTTTTGCGAATGGTGTCGGTCTTCAAAGGCTATGTGCCACCTGACAACACTGGAGACAAGAGGGAGACACAAGATATACTCAGACGACGGCGGTACATTTCGCTCGGAGGCTATCTAGTTAGCTAGATAATTGGAGATAAATAGCTTTAGTCAAAGAGACTGTCTGAACATGCAGGATGGACTGTCCATATTTTATTACTAAAAGATACATACCCAGTCTTTTAATTAACCCCTCACGTCTACCGTCTCTTGTTCCCTTCCCGTACCAGTCTTGCACACACACGCACCGTAGCTGGAAAGGCTTAATAAAAATAGAAACTACTTCCGGGCGCAATTATTTCACAATAAAAGCGATACTGAGGAAATTTTAAGAAAGGCAAGCAATGACACTGCGTAGGCTACCCGAAAGAAGCACACTGAATAACAGAACAAATATGAAGACCCTATTATGACTTTGGTATCTACTGAGTCTGGTTTACCACATATGATAATGGAACAGAACTTGGTAACTCACTGATTCAATGGCAACATTAAAACCTACATGTTGCTACTTATAAAACGTTTCCAAAATGATTTAATTTCTTATTGTGTTTTAGTGAGCTGAAACCTCTTTCCTCGGAAACTCGAAAACATTATAAAAGGGAACGTTGACTTTGCATGCAGAATGACATTTTTTGGTTAAAGTCATACCTCAAAGACAGAACTTATTAGGTTGGGTGTGGTGAGTGCAAGTCTTTTGTTCAAAAGTGCTTTGTGGGGTGCTTCAGGGATTTGTACTTGGCCATATTTTATTTCCAATTTACATTATCTCTAGGACATCTTTTAAGATAACAAAATACCAGTTTCCATTTTTATGCAGATGATACTAAAATCTATTATAGCTCTGACCCCAATAATCTTAATGAGATTGTTTTTGTTCTTTTTTCCTTCTCTTTTAAACTGTGTTGTAGATTGTTATCCATGCTTTTATTTAATCTAGCCTTGATTCCTGTGACTCTCTTTTTTCATATAGCAAAATAATCCATGAGTGCAAAATACAACAGTCAGAATTTTAACAGGTGCCAACAAACAAGAACATGGCATACTTGTTTGAGCATCTTTGCACTGGTTGCCCATTAACTTTAGGATTATTTAAACATTTGCATTGATTACTTTTAAAGTAGGGTAGAGCTGCTGCAGAGCCACATCTTAAACCCTTTTATCTCATATGTGCCAGCCTGTTCCCTAAGGTCCACAAACACAGCTCTCGTAACTGCTCTAAAGCAAAGAAAACCAAACATTTCCAGACTAAGGAACAGTCTTCCTGAAGAAATCAGGTCGGCTGAGTCTGTCTTGTCTTTTAAAATGCATTTATGGACTGGCCTTCCTGTGATCTTCTAGACTTTTTCTAGCTGAATTTGTGTTTTTATTCTCCTTTAAATCTTGTTTTAATTTTGTCTTACAGTGTATGTTGTTTTTATTGTGACATATCCTCTTTGTTATTTTGCTGTTTCTTTATTCTCTGTAAAGCACCCTGTTTTACAAAGGTGCTCTATAAATAAGGTTTATTATTATTATTTTTAATTGATGTTCTTTAAATGTTTCAAAAAGAAGACTTTACAGTGAATAAGGATGGACAGATACACTGTATATTGTAACATTGGGTTTAATTAAAACAATTAAAAGCTAACCAACTCAATATGTCAGCGTTTGAGTAACTTAGAAAAAATAAGTAGGTACTATTTTAGGAAAGGAATACTTCCCAGCATGCTTGTTTGAGTGGTGAAACTTTAGAGACTCTTCTTTTTGTATTTTGAAGAGCATTTATGGTGGATACCTTCTGTGTGTCTGTAATATACTGTATATTAAGTTATGGTTGTTTCTTTTCATAAGTGTAAAAGTGCTGCAAACCATAGTGAAGGTTAGTCTTGAACTCTATACCCTCATATATTTAGAATTTAATAAAGCTGCTGGGGACAGCCTTGCATGTTGTATTTGTGCTGACTTTGGAACTAAGTGCCTCCAACAGTTCTCTTCAAACTGAGAAATGTAAAAGGAAAATAATTCTATCTGCAGTGACTGTCCATGTGACTTAGAGGTTCAGTTAACTTAATATTAAGTTTTTAGTAGTTAGTGTTACATTTTCAAAACTTAAATAAGTAGGCTTAAAGCTTCCACAAATGATGCATGTTCATTCTAAATACATAGGCCTAGTCATTTAACTTTACTTAATTTTCTCATTTTCTCATTTTTCCTTTTTTTAAAGTAAACTTAACTTGTTAGAATTTACACTGTATTGAGGAACTTCCTTGGCACATAACGTTCAACTCTGAGGAGGCTGGATTGTTTTACTGCTAACAGGAAAAACATAATCCCCTTGTGTTCACCAACCATTTTAACTTAATCTGGTTAAATGTTAACTGATTTTTTTAAAAATTAATCAACATTTCTTGTGAGCTCACAGTCTCTCTCTCTTTGCAAATAAAATTGTGTTCAATTCTAAGGGGCTTTATTGGCACAAAAGTTTCAACAATGTTGTCAAAGCATCAAAATACAATTTATAATTCATAAATATTTACATATTTGAACAGTAGCCTATACAATAAAAACTGTAAGACTGATGTATGTCTACGTTATTTACAGCAGATAAGAGCAGACTGAGGCAATTGAAAGGTCAGTGCACCTTTATTTTGGACTGAAAATGTGGCACTTCTGGTTTAATCACAGTTAACTTGATACGGCTCTCGTTCTTGCTTTCTTTGATTGCCATGCTGCACCACGTCCAGTTTTTCTACAGCGCCTCCTCATGCTGGGATTGAATCATCCTTAAAATAGACTGATAGTTTTGACAGAAAATGGCGGGTCTATTTCCTGGTCAACTCTGGTTTCCACGTAATGCACAAAGCTCATTTGGATGGCAGCTCCAGCTGTGAGCTATGGTTCCACCCCCTGCCCCGCGCTGATATGCATGTGTCACTTCTTACCTGTAGCCTACCTTTTTAGCAATCATCCTGTTTAGCTGCAGTTATAGTAGCTAGATATTGGCTTCAGGGACACTTGATGTTGATTAACTTTTATTATTTAATCAATAGTAGCCAACTGAAAATTCAAAGATTTATTGAAAGTCAAAAAGAAGTTCTTTTACATTTTCCATTTGTTGTTACATGCCCTTTATTGCCTATTGTATTAGTCTGCCCTTAATATGCCAGTATGATCTTTAGTTTGCTTTTATCCAAATTTCCAAAGTTATTTGAACTAAATTACCTAAAGAATTAAAGGATTTGGTGCATATAAAAGTATATAGTCTATCATAACCTACAATACGCACTATACCAAGTAATCATAATGACTGCTCCTTCTGTTGTTTTCTATGGTGCCCCTAGAGCAGACATGATAAAATACCCCCTAAAGTGTCCCCACAATGGAGCAAATGCAATCACGTGCCCTCTCAGGTGCCCCCAGAAGGAGAGAGAAAGTTTCAGTCATGTCAGTGAATCAGCAGGTTTAACAAAGGAAAACCTAGAATGGTGAACAATTTGGCTGCTCAAAACAGATTCTTAAACTATTAATATTTTTATGAGAAATAAAATACACCATGACTCATTCTCCATTTTAATTTTTTCTATTCCGTGTTATCTGCATAGCACCAAATCATAACAAAAGTCTTCTCAGGACGCTTTACAATGTATTACAGTCAAAAAACCCAACAAATCCCCCTTGCGCAGCACTTGGCAACAGTGGGGAGGAAAAACTCCCTTTAACAGAAGAAACCTCCAACAGACCTTGGCTCTTGGTGGGCGGCCTTCTGCCTCGACCAGTTGGGGTGAGTGGACAGAGGAGAGAAAAGCAAAGCAACAAGACACAACAAGCAATCAAACACTGGGCAGGTCCATGTGGCTGGTGACTGCTCATCAAAGACTTAGAGCTCCAGAGCCAGGGCTACCTGGAGAAAGGTACAGGGAGAGAGAGACAGGACACACTATGGGGGAAGAGTAGACAGTTAGTGACAGGTAGGGTAGGAGAGGAGAGGGGCTCTGCATCATGGTACAACCTTCAGCCTATAGCTAAGGGGTGGTATACCAAAGCAAACTTATCCTAAATGCATGTTCAATAATTTCATAGACACCACTACATTGACCAGAAACCACTAGTACAGTTAAATATACTCAGTAGCAACAGGACCGCCCAGGCCCCCTGTTTGCTTGCAGTTACTAAGATGGCTGTCAGTCTTATCCCTGTTCAGCCACATTAGTTATAATGCCATGAAATATTGAAAGACATATTACAGCATACCAAGTACCTCTCTACCCTCCCTCACTGTCTTTCTAGCATTATATTAAAAAACATATTACAGGTGTTTGTAAAATAAATGTATTAAAAGAATAATTTCTACAGAGACGTTTGTTTCCTTGTAGCCTTAATCACCCAGGGAAACGGTAATCTTAATTGAGAGTGTAGTCTTTAGCCCCAAACCTACATAGTTCTCTACTGATGGGGGCATACTGTCTACATCAGGTGCTCTGTGTAGTTTTTCGTCACTGTCCCTCAGACAGCCTGAGTCTGCCACTGACCTCCACACCATTTCCTGATCCACCTAATATGGGCCCGCAGTAAGAAGCTGGTAGAGTACAAGGACTGAATCACTTGTGGCATCGACTCAGCTTCAGTGACATCTTACCATAATGACTTCTCAGTAATACAGATACCACAGAAACCATCATTTAACTCCCAGCAGTTAACACTTTGTCTTCCCCCAGTCAAGATAAGTTATATTTGCAACTGCACTTGAACATGTTCTCTTTGAAAATGCACTCTTGCTCACTACATATTGGTATAACACTGAGGACATCTAGTGGTCCAAATCTGCAAGTATGGCTCTGCAAGTACAGTACAGAGAGCTCTTCAAAATACCTTAAAAACATGGAATTATACTGCTCTGTCTAAGGGTTAGGGTTATTTTGTTTTTCAGTCCTACTTTACCAAATACATTTTTGTTAACAAACATCAACTTTTTGCTGAGGTTAATATATTTTACAATCTGTCATATGAATAACCACCGAAAGGCCTGAACGGTAATGTACATGTAGTGGTAAAAGCAAACTTAATATAGTTTATACTTATTAGGCCAGTGTTAGTTACATTCTAAGTAAACAGGAAATATTTTGATCACTTACATAAACTCAACTCACATGAACTTAATGACCACTCAGCTCTCCCTCACACAAGCTGATACCAAATATGAGCTACATGCTGTTTGATTACATATTTCGTCTGGAGTCTGATTTACTGCTAACCACCACAGGGCTAAGTATGGTCAGAGATAAACTTTTGTGAG